ATCAACTGTCCTGGCTGGCGCGGCACCAACACTAAGACCCGGCGGTGGCTGACTACAGCCCTGAAAACCTCCAACCGAACCCGGAATCCCTCCAAGATCGTTGGTATTCGATGGTGGCTGAGGCGCGGCCGTACCGCTGCACTCGGGAATCACTGATGGTTGCGGCACTGCTTCCCCTGGAATTGCTCCACTGCTGCCGCTCTCGGGATTTGCTGTTGCTGTTGTGCACTCAGCTGGACCGGTATACTCATAATCCCAACCATCTGGTAAACCCCACCATTCTTGCTCGTATGCATTGACCTCGGCATCGTTTTCTGGAATACCCTGCTCTTCCGCATCCGCAATCCAGAAGTGCTCGCACAAGGTTTGTAACTGCATAACTTCCTCGCGAAGGCTGGCCTGTTGCCCTGCAACGGCCTGAAGTTCCTGCTTCACGCCCGTGATATCATCAGTGAGTGCTTCTTGTCGCGATCTCACAACACCCATCTGATCCCTAACACCCTCTGTGATTGATGCAAGATCGGTCAACCTCGCAGATATCTCACTATCCATGGTGTTGCGCCTCCCTGGAGCTGCCTCTACCAGCGGCTCTAGGCGACTTGCTGTACTCTGTGATAATGCACACACATCATCCAAACGGCCATTCAGCTCACTGTGGATTCGCACTATGTGGGCCTCAATCTGTGCTTGCCATTGTTGGGGCCCCATCCTTGCAGTCTCAGCTTTCGCCTGGACCGCACTCAGCTGCTCGCGAACAATTGCGAACTGCTGCCGCATATCCGCGCTGAGCTGTTCACATTTGGAGTCTATCTCCTGCCTCAAGGATTGGTTTTCATTCATAAGACAGGCCAAGGTACGGCTATGGGCTTCCATTCCCTGCTGAAGCCTGTCCAAGTTATCCACTAAGGCATTGTATCCGGAATGTAGCGTAACACAAGCACCACCAAGGACATTGGACCTGTATTGTAAGCGATCGTTCAGCTCGACAACTGCGGCTCTCAGATCGTCTATCAATGATGCGTCCAATGAAGCTGCCTCTGCAAACTGCTGAAGAACTGACGTCGGGATCTCCAGCCGTGTCGCTTGCACCAAGGTAGCTGTCTGCAAGGGTGATGAAGGTTCTGCTGTTGCGAAGTTGCTGTGTGGAGCCCTTGGGCTCATAACCTGTTGGTTATGAGAAGGGTAAGCCGCTGCAACTGCTGAAGCTGGTAGCTGAAGCTGTTGCTGCTGCTGTTGCTGCTGTTGTAAGTGCTGTTGATTGGTGATGCTCGGCCTCTCTGGAGAGCCGCTGTCGGTAACTGGGCTAAAACGTTCCGGAATAATTGTTCGCCTAATTGGGGTGAAGGGTCCGTCGTCATCGTCGTCCATCCCCGAGCTACATAAACGACAACCGAAAGAACCTACCAAAAACCGAAAAAGCCTCGACCCTCGCAGGCGGCATCACGTTGTTTTCTCGCACTTGAGCCAATCCCGTTGGTATCATGGCCTCTTGACCCATGCTTGAAACAAGCATAAAATATGCATGCGCAAACGTGTGTGTGGAAGTCTTCGCTCCCTACTCCTACGATTTCCACCTCCTAGCAAAGGAGACAGCGGTGCGTGCACAAACGGAACATGGACATGTTGTGTGCATGTTCCTCGGAAGTTAAACTACCGCAGGAGTCGAACAGAATGGAAAGAATGTTTGCGACCTTAATTTCTGCCATACTCCACTGACTGATACTTCGACCATCATGAGCATTGGCAACATGGAGCATCTGGCCTATTATCAACAAGATGGATGAGTTGTTGAGACATTATTTCGAACGTGTGAATGGAAATGAGAAACTTTGTGAGAAGCTTAGACAGCGGTCGGAGGATCTCACCAGCCGTTTTGAAACCTTGCAGACTCACGTTGATGTGGGGTTTAGTTCGGAATCCAGAGCTTCATCACGTCGTCCTCAATTTCAGACGCCCCAGCAGATTGCAGAGGAGGTGTCCAATGAGAGGTTTGAGGAGGAGGCGAAGGCTCAGGAGATCATCGAAACACCAAGGCATCGCACAACGTCAGGTGTCCAGATGTTCCAGATGACTCCCCAGCGTGACGGAGCCGATGATTCACGGAAGAAGGACGCTGTTGATGAGTGGCTGGAACAAGTAGAGGAACCTCAGGTTGTGCAGTCAGTTCCTGCGGAGCCTCCAGGTCTAGGAAGTTCTGGTGCTAAGATTCCAGGGGGACAATGGAGAAAAAAAAAAATTGATCAAAGATTTTCCCAAACTCACAATTCCTCATGGAGAACCGTGGAAAAAGGGAATGGTGTCTAGACAGTGGTGTACAGAAGCCGCATCATTGGCAGAGGCGATATCCCCATCGTTTGCGCAGTTCTTCCGAAAGCGAGTGCAGGAGGGACAGACCAATCATGAGAAGCGTTTGAGGGATGGTTGTGAGTCAACGTTGCCAGTAGTCCATCAGGAGGAGCGGGAGATGGAAACCCGCTTGAGCTTAGCTCTGCTTAAGGCAATCCCATCTTCTTTGAAGCAACCGGCTCTTGAGAAGGGCACCCCAAATGAGGCGGTATCCACGATTGCATTAATGGAGACAGTGAGCGAAGTGTTGATGCCAGGAGGTATTACTGAGCAAGTGTCGTTACAGAGATTCCTTCGGCAACTGGGAACAAGATTGAGCTTGTTGAGATTGCAGCACAACATTCAGGTACCATCCCACGACGGAGTGACATCGTTCCTTCAGCTATTGGAAGCCGAATGTACCAGGATTCAAGCTGAGGAACAGACGTCGTCGTCGTCCAAGGATGCTCGGAAACATGAGGGAGATGAATACGCTATTCCTTCGGCAAATCAGGCTACTGGGGGAAAGGGTGTCGGTGCTGTTGTGCTCGTACTTCCATACTGCCAGAGGTTGCTTAAAGGGAGCAAATTGCGAGTTCAGACATGAAAGGATTTCAAACAAAGGGAAGGAGGCCAAAGGCAAGAGTGGCAAAGATGGGAAGGATGTTGGAAAATCTCCTTTTGAAAAGGGGAAATCATCTGGTAAGGGCGACGCGAGAAGGATTGCAGATGCAAAGGCGGCTGAAGAAGCAAAGGCTAAGGCCGCTGCGGAAGCGAAGGCTAAGGCGAAGGCTGAAAAAAAGGCGGCCAAAGCGGCAGCAAAAGCAGCAGCATCAGCTAAGGCTTCTTCGGTAGTGCATGTTGCAAGCGCGACTTCAGAGGAGGTTCCATCATTGGTTGGTGCAGTAGGGCCGACTTCATCCGAGTCAACAGCTCCACGCATCATGATGGCACAGAGTCTGGACTGCGAGAGTAATGATTCTAGCGAGTCAGAGTCACTTGAAGCAGAGATTCCTATGAGAGCTGAGGGTGATACGCCAGAGTGGTCGGAAGTAGAGCGTGGCGATTTCTCCAGTGCAGAGCCTTCTTCAGAGGAAGAGTTTCAGGCTGATGAAGATCAGCACCGGCAGGTGCAACCACTTCGTCTATGGGTGTCAAACCTGACGATTGAAGATTTCATCATGTGGACGAGACCTGGTCACATTCAGTCACATGCCACTTCCGAGTTCCAGATGGAAACCAATCCAAACTCCATTATGTGGCCTGTTTGGTGGACGATTGAACAGGATTATCTTGATGACAACGAACAGGGAGTGATCCCTGTGACGGAAGATGTGGTGATGTTGAGGTGCGATGTGACACCAGTGTTGTTTGAGGATGGCATCATTCGGAATGTCTTTGTGGTGTGGCTCCTTGAGGAGGAGACTGGAAGAGAGCGCAGGGTTGCAGTGATTAGAGGGCGAGTTCGTCCCATTGTCACTCCGTGGCCAAATCGGGAACTGAGTACAGCAGCCTCAGCAAGCAGCCCTCCAGTTGCGAAGGCACCGACGATCACGGCGCCGCCTCCGGAGTTGCATCAGGGTTTCCCTAGGATAGGTTACCCCATAACTCCTCTAGCTAAGGCTGCAGCTTACGCTTGGAGAGCAAACGAGATTCAGGCGATTGAAGCTGTCACCGCAGTACCCAAAGCAGCAGCGAAAGCAGTAGCTAGAGCATTCCAGGTTCCATTCGTTACAGCCTCTCGAGCCAAAGCTACAGCATTTCCCAAAGCACGAGCAGTGGCGAGAGCACCTCGAGGAGGAGCAACAATGCCGACAGCCATGCGTTGTGCATGTGTTGAGGAAGAGCTTGATTTTGAACCTCCCATGTTGGTTGGAGTTAAGGCTGAGCCAATCACCGCTAGCAGACTTGAGTGTATCGATCAACCAGTTGGAAGTGCAGTGATCAGTCAGCAGCCGTCGGTGTTAGTGGATTCGGGTGCGAATGAGTCCTTGGCTTGCAGATATAAAGGAAAGTAGATGCACCCACACAGCCGTTGTAACTGCGAGTGGTGATCGAGTAGCCGCGCTTAGAACCAGGGATGGAGAGTTGTGCATCAAGTCCACTGAGGATGGTACGGACTGGCTGTTGAGTGTTCGTCGGCTCGTAGAAGCTGGTGGAACTTTCAAGTGGGATCGGGAGGCAGCGACAGTATCTTATCTTGACGGTGAAGGGCATGAGCAACATGTGGATTGCAGGATTCAGAATGGGTTGCCTTTCCTTGATTGGGAGAGTTTCAAGCCCATCCGGATTATGCTCTCGAAACACTTCAAACACAGGCCAACAGTTGCACGCGCAGCTACAGAAGAGTTGTAAAACATGTTTAATTGAGGAGTTGAGTGAGGCTGTGTGGAACGAAGAAGCATACCGCATGACAACCGAAGAGAGCGAGGAGATCACAAAGGCAATTTGGGAGCTCACCTCCAACGATGCGCCCGAACCCCGAGCACCACCAGGGGTCACCGTCCTGTGCTGTCACCGGCTCGCGGCCTTGGGCCGCGCCGGCGGGGTGGATTTTGTAAGGCTGCCGCACCGCGAGATGCAATGGGCGCCCGTCCCTATCCGCTGTGACACTGGCATAGCCGCGTGGCGCCCCGGCTGGCTCTGCCCCGGCTGCGCCACAGAGGTCCCACTAGATGCGCTCCAAATTCCTGCTGATGCAGGCGGGGTGTGCAACCGATGTGGCTGCGAATTGCAGTGGATTTTTGACCGAGTCGCGGGCGCCTCCTCGTGGAGCTGCACCGCCGGGTGCGCCGGACCGGCCGCACCTGATCACGCAGCAGTTCCGCACCCCCAGGCCCCTCATCCAGAAGCCCTTGCCCCTGATTCCTCGCCAGGCGCCCATAGGCCTGCGGCAGCTTTTTGGCTCACAAGGGGCCCGCCTCTCGGGGCGGTCCCGGACAGCACCAACTCCTGGCTTTACGTTCCTTTATTGCACGCCGCAGCCGCAGATCTCGCGCCTTCTGCGCTCGAAGCTTGGCGAGCCGATCCCCGGGCAACCAACTGGTGGGAGCAGGCTCGCCAGCTCCTCGCGGCCTCCGCGCCTGTCGCCCCGCAAACCCTCATTGCAGCCCTCGCCCGCACCGCCGAAACCGCCCCTGCGCACGCGCACCATCTGCCCGATCTTGTTGCGCGCATCCACGATGCGGGCCTTCCCAATGGCTCCCTCGTGCATGCCGGCTGGGCGGTGCGCCAGCTGCGAGAGCCGGATGGCTACCTCCTGTCACCGGTGCAGGAAGTTCTGCTTGAATGCTACGGCGGCCATGTGCTTGCATCGACGCTCGACCGTCATTCGGACCGCTTCCGTCCAGCCCCTGCCGCAGCAGCCCCAACGAGTGATCCTCCGCCTGAGGTGCCCTCCACAGCAGAGCGAGTGCAAGACGACGCCGAGCCAGCCTCCCCGCGTGCCGAACCACCCGCAGCAGCAGACGAGGATGCCTTTCTGGCCGCCGCTGCCCAACGCGTGCGCCAACAAGCGACCGCTACTGGCCGGGGCACTGGACGGGGCCGGCGCGGACGTGGGCGCGGAAGAGGAACCGCAGCTTGCCCCGATGACCTTCCGCCGCCTCCCCCGCAGCCACCCCCCACTCGGCGTGGGCAAGCCAATGCGACTGCTGAAGCTGGCATGCGGCGCGGCTTTGTCTCCCTGGATGCGGTCAATCTCCAAGCCAGCTGCCGCCAACGGGTCCTCACGCTGCAAGCAGCCCCAGCGCGCATCCGTGGAGCCCTGCGTACTGCACTGCGCACCGGCCTACGGCTCGCAGTCCACCCAGCAGCTCCCGAGGATGCCGCGCGGGGTTGGAAGCTTTTCTGCCTCGCTCCCCGCATGCTCCTGGTTCCGCTCGCCGGGTGAGTCGCGCATTCCGCCGGCAGAGCTGGACAGGCGGTGCGAACTGTTCCGCGCCGGGCAGTGGTCGGACCTCCTCCGCCAATCCGCCGCCGCGGCAGGGACAGTACCCAGCCCACCCCGAAGTGACCCTTCTGATGCACAGCGGGCGCGCCGTGCCGCCGCCCTTGTCCACATTGGGGAGCTGTCCGCCGCAGGGCATGCCCTCACTGCTCAACCTTTAGCCGCTGGCACCTTTGACACGCTCGCCGAGCTTCGTGACCCGGAGCGGCGGCCCCCCGTGCCGTATGCCCCCGTGCCCGACGGCGTCCTCGGACACGTGCCTGCAAAGACATGCCCGCTGCCCCTGCAAGACTTCCTCCGGGGCCTGCGGAGTGCACGACGGGGCTCCGCAGCCGGGCCTTCTGGCACCACCAACGAGCACCTCCGCATCCTCTTGGACGACGATGAAGATGCTCGCCTCCTGCATGGCGCCGCCGTCCGGCTCGCCAATGCAGATGTGCCTTCCGAGGTGCTTGAGGGAATCCGGGTCGGACGCCTAGTCGCTCTTCAAAAGCCCAACGGCCGGGTGCGTGCTCTTGTGGTTGGCGACGTCCTGCGTCGTCTCGTCGGCCGGGTGCTCGCGCAGCACTTCGCCCCTCGCCTGCAACAGGCATGCATGCCCCACCAGTTCGGGCTGAGCACCCGCTCAGGGACGGAAGCTGTGAGTCGGCTCCTCCGCGCCGCCACCGAAGCAAGCCCTCGAGCCACCGTGCTCTCTGTCGACGCTGTTGGCGCTTTTGATCATGTCTCGCGCGGCGCCATGCTGACCGCGCTTCATGCGAGGCCTGAGCTCCAGCCCCTCCTCCCCTTCGCGCGCCAGTTCTACGCTGACCCCTGCACGTACACGTGGTATGACGACGATGGACGTGCCCACGACATCTCCCAAGGAGAGGGCGGCGAACAAGGCGATCCACTGATGCCCGCGCTGTACGCGCTAGCACAACATGAAGCGCTCTGTGACCTCCACAGCCAGCTTCAGGACGGGGAGGCCGTGTTCGCGTTCCTCGATGACACATATGTCGTCGCCGCGCCTGATCGCGTCCGCACGCTTTACGACGCTCTCGCGGCTGCCCTCTGGGACCGGGCACGCATCCGCCTGCATCAGGGCAAAACTCGGATTTGGAATGCCGCCGGCGGGTGCTTGGACTGGCGTTTCTCGCCTCTGTCGGGGCTCCCACACCCATTTTGGCGACTGCCGCGCCGCGTCAGCTCTTTGGGATTTCCTGGTCGCCTTTCCCCTCGGTCCGCAAGCCTACTCGCCGCTGGATGGGGGGGGGCGGGGCGCCCTGCCTATTAGCCCCTCCACTTCCACGAGCTTGGAAGCTGCTGAGACAGCTGAGCCCAGCAAGGTCCGACGTTCCCCCGAGCCCCTAGGCACCCGTGACCGTGGCGGGTTTCCCGCCCGGTCGGGCGCGGTTAAGGAAAACAGGAACCGGCTTTGAGCTGTGGCCTGAAGGGTCACCCCTAACTGAACCGCCTTCGGCAGCTTTGGAAGCCCCTATCGGAGCCTACCTGGATCTGGTCGCGGGAGCTGTTTACGACTGGGTGAGGTTTGCGGAAGCGGCGCGCCTCGGCACCAAAGCTCGCGCAGCGGCCCCGTCGTTTCCGGAAGCCTTGAGGGCCTTGCGCAGGGGCTGGACCTTACGCCAAGGCGATCATTTCAAGGGTCTCTTCGAGGCTGCCTTGGACGACCTGCTTCCCCCCGACCTTCTTCACTGGCTCAGACACACCGCCACTCAGGGGGTTGACGCCCGTTACGAGTGGCAATCCCTGCGGACAGCTGAAGCGGCCGCGTGTAAAGTCAAGGACCTCGAGGAGGGCACGCTCACTTTTGACAAGGTGATTTGGGGGCTTTCCTACGACACTCGAGACAACACTGTCTCCCTTCCCGGGCCGAAGCTCGAAAAAGCTGGACACTTGCTCCTCCTCCCTGACTTCGATCGGGGGAACACTCACCTTGCGCTGCGGCTGGTGCAGGAACTGCGTGGAAACTTGGAGTTCTGGGCGGCTGTCCTCCCTATACGGTCAACCCCTACCTGCATTCCATCAATGCGCTTCTTAAGCCTCCTGACGAGCAGGGCAGAGCCAACCCGCAGGGCAACCCCACTGAGGTTGAGGCGCAGTGGGACAGCTTCTGGGACACCCTCGATCTCCTGAGGCTCCTTGCGCAAGACCGAGCTTCTTGGTCCACCCGCTTCTCCAACCCCTTGTTTGCTGCCCTGGACACCAACGAGATACTGGCGCTGCCTGGGGTCAGCTCGAAGGTGATTTGGGTCACTGCTGACGCGACCCCGACCCATGTGGGAGCGGTTGACTGGTCAAGTAAGACCGCGGTGGCTCAGACCGTGGGGCAGTTTCTTGCTGCCGTGGCGCTGGCAGGGGCCCGCGCTAAGCTCGAGGCGAGCTTCTCGCCCGGGGCCATGGAAGAAGAAGAGTGCGAGGACGACCGCTTGCAAATCGCGCTCGCCGAGCTTGTTGCGCTCCTGGTCCTTTGCGCCCATCGCCGGGAAGCCTGGAAAGGATGCATCATCCTCTACGCGGGGGATAACCAGAATGTCATCAGCTGGGTCCGATCGCGCCGATCCGGCCATGCTGGTGCCAGCTTCCTGTTGCTGGTACTCGGCGCGTTGGAGGTGACCCATGGGTTTCAGGTCCGGGGCGAGTACGTGCGCACCTACCGGAACACCACCGCTGACCGTCTTACCCGCGAAGAACCGGCTGGTGTCTACAAGGCAATGGGGCTCACCTTGCTCAAAAAGGACCCCGACTGGGATACTCTCCTGGAGCAAGGGTGGTCCAGGAGAGCTCTGGTTTGGGCTGGGCAGCCCAACTCTGACCGAGGGACCGCCGTGCAGCTGGCTCTGCGAGGGACGCATTCGCCGCAAGAAGGGCGGCCTCGGGCGTACACGAAAAACTGAGCGCTGCCTTTGGCGCCCTCTCCGCGGCTCCCGAGACCATCCCCGCCTTCGACCCTGTCTGGACGAATCGGGAACCTTCCGCCTGGATAGAAGGAGGTACGTTGAAGGTCGACCCCACTTTCCCTCACCTGGGGCCTCATAAGCCTAAACCTTTGGGGGAACTTAGGGGAGGGTCGTGTCAGGGAGCTTGTCTTTTCAACTGCGCGCACCCTTCCGGGCTTGCATCAGGGCTCCTGGGAAGCCCAGCACCCCGATCGCTTGGTTTTACTAAGCAAGGGTACTGTCCTAGGGTTTTAGAGCCCGGTGAGGCGGTTCGCCTCCAAAGAGGCAAAGACCCTGAAGTCCCCCACGACCCTAACGCTGCTAGCACCCTGGCCGCCTCGTACCTTAAAGCCACCCCCCTTGCCCTTGCCGCTTGGTCTGTCACCTGGCTCACGTCGTGTTTAGGCACAAGTAGCAGTAGTGAAGGTTCAGGTAGCCTCGTAGGGGAGGAGGGCTGCGCTTTCGGGGGTAGGGGAGTGCCGCCGGGCGAAGGGGAGGGCAGTGCGTGGCTCGTTTCGAGCCCAAAACAGACCCTTCCGACCTCAAAGAGGCTGCCAGCGCCGCGCTCACCCCGGAAAGGGCAGGCGCGTGCAGCTTGCCGTGGGAGAGTCACTGCTGGGCTCTGGTCTCGGCCTGGCTCGAGGCAGCCCTCCCGCGAGAGGACGCCAAGGGAAGAGCGTTCCGGGAGGAACCGCGAACCAGCAGCGATGACGGAAAAAAGCTCACCGCGTTTCTCCGTCATACAGCCCCGGTCGACGTGAACGGCTACATAGCCGTAGAAGAGCTGCTTCGGTTCAGGAGGTTCGAGGGCTGGACCTCCGTCAGGGTGAGAGAGGCTGTTGCAGAGGGGCGTCTCACCACCATCCTGCGGAAGACGAAGACTTCCGGCGCTACGAGAAGGGTCAAGGAGCTACCGGTCGTGGTGTCCGAGCACGCCTTTCTGGTCGCTAAGAGCTGGCTGGTGACCGGCTTTGATCTCCTGAAGGCCCACGCTAACTACGCCCGGGACTACCTCATGCCGCGGCTGGGGCAGCTGGAGAAGAAGATCGCTACCTATGCGGACGCTATGGTGGCAACTGCGGGGCTGCTGGCTATCATGGGCTACCCCCGAAAGGTCCAGGGCTATTGGACGGAGCACAGTGAGCGCTCAGTGCTACCAACGGGGTTGGCGCTAAAAGAGATCCCGCCGCAGGATAAGGATCTGCTAGGACGTTGGAAACCCGAGGGTTCCGACGTGTACGCTAGATCCTTTGCGGGTAGAGTGTCCCGGCTCCAAGCTCTCTTCGCTAAGACAGCTAGAGGGGACGACCGCTACGAAGCGCTCGACGAGCGCGAAATTGCCGCGGATCTGGAGCCCTGGCTGGAAGAAAGGGCCAAGCTAACCCACAGCCAGGCTATTGATATGGCGGCACGGCTGCGGAAGATCTGGATGGAAGGCCTGCTAGGAGTCCCGACCGAGGCGGAGGAGCTAGAGGTTCCCGAGGAACCGGACGAGCCCGAGGAACCGCTAGGGGCAGGGAGCAGCTCCGAGGCTTCTGCGGAGGTCGTGGAACGGCCTGCTAAGAAGCAGGCCAGGGTTCCTGACCGCAGCCAGGGCAGCTATGTGATCGTAGAGGTCCCAGGTGCCATTTTCCGCCTGCACAAAGCGGCCGCTACAGGATGCTGGATGGGAAAGCGCCGTGCTTTCCGCAACGCTAGGGTTCTTGATTCGGTTCCGGGGCCGCATGAGTACACACATGTGTGCAAGCTATGCTGGCCGAACCAAGGGGCTATCTCCGAAGGAGACGCTAGCGAAGGATCGCTTGCTAACTCGGAAGATGACGAGGCCCCCGAGGATCCCGCAACAGGGTCCGCTAGCAGTCATCCTTGAGCGCAGGGCGTGCTAAGCCGCCGAACTCGCACTCGCACCAAGGCTAGAAAGACTGCTAGGTCGGAACCGCTTCACCTCACCTCTCTGCCTCCTTCTCTCTCTCTCTCTCTCTCTCTCTCTCTCTCTCTCTCTCTCTCTCTCTCTCTCTCTCTCTCTCTCTCTCTCTCTCTCTCTCTCTCTCTCTCTCTCTCTCTCTCTCTCTCTCTCTCTCTCTCTCTCTCTTCCTCCTTTGCGAAACGCCGCTAACAATTTTTGAGGGGGTGTGCTTGGGAGGGGGGGAGGGGTGAAACACTGAATGTTACACATCCAGGTGCCTGTCTGTTTCACGTATCACTTGCATGTATCCATGCCTGTTGCTCAAGGTTCTAGTGCAGTGGACTACAGCTGTGCGCCTGTAGCAAAAGAGACACCTGAGTGCCTGTGTTCCTGTACGCCTAGCGAGGGGATACACGTCCAGGTTACATCTCAACGTGGTAGCGGAGCTCCCGGGAAACGGGAACTTCACACTTGTGGAGGTACCCGTTCGGTACTCTCTACACAGGTGGAGGCAACCGGAATACCCGGTGTGCTTCACTCAGGTGAAGGTGACCGGAGTCTCTCCGGCACACTTCACTCAGGTGAAGATAACCGGAAGAGGTTTCTCCCGGGGCTCGATCCAAGAACAGCGCAATGGCTAGCCACTCTGCGACTATCTTTGAGCATGAAGGAGGAGATGATGACTACCTCCTCCACGGAAATGAATCTTTCGCGACTAATCATCGTCATCTCAATGAATTACACCGTCTTTCAGCTTTCCAGCAGGTGACCACCAAAGTACCTCCATCTTATGATGGCAGAAGCAGTTGGTTTGCCTATGAAGATGCGATCGATGACTGGTGTGACATTACTGAGCTAGACAATGATAAGCGTGGACCAGCTTTGAGAAATCGGCTAGAAGGTGAAGCAGCAATCCACAAGAGACTTCTCGACAGAGATCGCCTGAAGGACCCGAACAACGGAGTGAAGTACTTCAAGAGTTTCCTGCGGCCGCTTTTCGTGAAGGGAGCAGCGAATGTTTTTCTCTACCGCTTCCAGCAGTTCATGGCCTGCATTCTTTGAGTGACGATAAGTGATCCAGGGCATGCGCCTTGCTGCAAGTTTTCGGGTCGAATGCTGAGGGATCTTGTGTCTAGTTCCCTCCCCGTGATTAGCAGCCTTTGGTGCCATTCGCAGCCGCGTGCCGCTGAGCTCATTCTGCTGGCCCTGTGTGTGTTTTGGATAGGTTTCCTTTGTGGAGGCTTGGTTGTGGGAATCGCATTGTCTACTCGCTGCCGTAGGTGGCTTGCTCATTTGCTGATTTCTGCTTTGGAGGGCCAACACTGGGCTCACCAACCGCCGCCAGCAAGGGCGGGACGCAATAGGCTGCTGGCCTATCGTGAATGAGCATCAGCTCATCACGCCTCTCCGTTGATCAGCACGGCGAGGAGGAGTGGATTGTGGTTGAGGCCCCCGAGCCGGAGGCCACAGAGGACGAGCCGGGAGAGTTGGTTCCTTCGTCTCACGGTGTTCCTTTGCATTTGGTTAGGCGGTCTCGTCTGTCTACCATTGGCGTTTGGACCCCTGAACGTCGAATCGAGCGAGCCTTCAACTTGGGAAAGCAAGACTGTCAGGCAGCGCTTGACGGCACTGGGCTTCAAGCAAAAGATTCATTCCCCATCCCTTCTGCAATCTACTGCATCTTATACGAGCCCTCTGGAAACTGGCCGCGGATCACCAGGTCCATCCACCGGTTCTACGAGGCAGTTAAGGTGTCAAAGGACGGCAAAGCGCCGGGACGGGCGTCTCAGTGGAAGCCTGGATTCTATACCCGAGGGTTCCCCTCTTTGGTTGAAACCGAAGCCTATCTTCTTGGAGCAACATGCCGATTGCCGAAAGAGGAATTCTGAGCTTGCAGGTCGTGGGGTCGGATTCTGGCAATGTGGAGCTTCTCATCTTGAAGTGGGGAGATTTGGCCTTCCTTGCAGTGCCGTTGAGAGTATGCCGTCAGGGGGTGATTTTGGCGTTGCCCAAGGAAGCAATCCCAGAGGACACCTTGGAGGACGCCATGGATGGTCCAGGAGACGGGCTTGTAGGCCCTCACCTGAGAACGACGGTGAACTCCCAGGCGCTAGACGACGAGGAAGGGCATGTCATCGAACTCCTCCTCGTCGAGTTTGCGATGCCGGTGCGCTTGCAGTTGGATCGGAAAACCCCGCGGACCAGGCGACAGTACCTGGGCTTTGTCGGGGACAATACGGTCCTCCCGGACTTTGTCGAGTTGAACGATGTCGTCAGCAGCTGGGTGGAAGGAGGGGAAGCGAGGCTGGAAGAGTACTTCACGGCCGCCGAGGAGGCACCTCCAGCTCCACCCGGAGACCAGAACATCGCCATCTTGACACAGCTCCAAGAACTTCAAGCCAGCATGGATCGTCGGTTTCAGGAGTTGGAGAGTCGGGTGGAGCGGAGAGGTCCATCACCGCAGGAGCCAGCCAGAGCTCCGCCTACAGGGCCTTTAAAGAAAGGCGGCGACGACGAGCTCAACGGGCCGGGGTCAAGGGATCGAAGCAGGGCTCTTTTGGAATCAGTGCGGGAGCAAGCGGGACCACCACCGGCTCGGTTGGCAGACGAGCCGGGCCGAGGAGCGGAAACAGCTCGACAGGGGGCGCATCTGCGGAAGTTGGTGGAGGATGTGGATCCCGAAACTTCGTCGGTGGACGACCTGATGAAGCTTGCACTGTTAAAGATGGTGCAGGGTACCAAAAGCAAAAAGGGCCGGAGACTTCCTGGGCTCCCCAACTTCGAAGACAGCTCGGATTCGGAGAAGGGCGAGGGCGAGCAAAGTTGGTCTTCCACCAGCAAGGGAGGCCGAGGGATAGAAGCAGTAGAGCGCTTGAATCAGGCGATGAAGACTTATCCCGATGCTTATTCGGAGCGGATGGAAGCTCGCATGGCCAAGGCGGTGGAGTGTGCAGAGCTTCTGCCAACAGTGCCCATGTTGTTCGCGAAGAGCTGCCCCGTAGGAAAGTCCAGGACCGCGGGCTACTGTCTGCAAGGATTCGCAAATGTGCATCGTCTCCTGTTGGAGAACAAACCACGACAGGCCCGCCTCCAGGTCTTGCGGATGATGGGAGCGCTCGAGCAGTTCCTGATCGACGAGAATTGGTTGGTAGCTTCACGGCTGACGGGCATGGAGGAGCCACCTTGGGGTCACTGGGCCACGCAGGACTTAGGAGCACTGAGGCGGCAGTACGTGTACAGCCGACTCGCCGAGTCCACGTGGATCGGGGCACTCATCAACGAGCTCAAGGAGGAAGAGTGGTTGACGAAAAAGAAGTTCTCCACGGCTGCTCCGAAGCCAAAGGCCAAAGGGGGGGGAAGAGACGCCACCGAGACCGAGAACACCGGTTCCTAAGCTGGTCGGCCCCCGGTGGTCCGCGTCGGGGTGCTCCTTTGGGCGAGCCTCACTTTAAGAAGGGCGATGGCAATTCTGCCACGGCCGTTCTGGGTCCTCTGGAGTTTCTGGAGGATTGGTGTCGCTTCCTGGAGAGCGCTGATCTGCCGCTTGCTCGTTATTTTAGAAGTACTTTTTATATGCCCGAACAAGCCTCAAAAGCTGTGGGAGGATCAAACGAGATCTTCCCGTGTCCTCCTCCTTACGCTTGGGTCACTTGCAAGCCGGGTGGTCTCAAGCAGTCCCGTAGAAGGTGCGCTAGGTGGAAAGTCCGTAGGGCCAGTGAGTTATGGGTCAATCTGATGGTTTGTGCCCTTAGTCATGAAGCCCTGGGGGTGAGTAGTGCGCCGCTGCGAGGGAGAAGAGGGGTTTCGCTGACACATGACCAAATGCAAATGTGTAGCTTTTTGAAGTCCCTTGCTGCATCAGTGGTCCGCCTGGGAACTCAAGACCCTGGATGCGGATTGCGTTCGCCCGCGACCTCCGATCGACTGGAGAGTCTGCGAGAGCAATTAAATCAATTCGGTGATCTTCCTTATGCCTGCGCGCGCAGGTCTTTTCAGTCACGCCAAGGGGCGTTCACCGCCACTCAGGCGTTGCCGGTTGTCGCGGATAGGCTTAGCCTTCCTACCCAAGTCCAGAGCTTTGATCCCCGGCCGTTCCTTTCACCTATTTTTAAACAGATCTTCGAGGATCCTGATTCCTTTCTGAAACCGGCTTCCGAGATGCCGGCTCCGATTAAGGTTCGTGGCACTGCTACCCGCTCAGAGCTTCTGAAGGTGTTGAAGCGCTGGGATGATTTGGGCAGGTTGTTCATTTGTCGAGGGTCGGAGGTTAATGCCGATGATAGGTGTGAGTTGTTTGCGGTTGCCAAGGATGCGGACAAGGATCGTCAGATCCTTCATAGGAAAAGACGTAATCTGCGCGAGAGGCACATTGCAGGAGCTTCTCGCGATCTCCCGCATGGGGTACAGCTGTGTCAGCTTCCACTTGAGGGCCGCTTTGTCTGCGCTTGCTCGGTCGATGATGTCAAAGATTTTTATCATGCGTATTCTGCGACGGAAGCGCGAGCCAGAAGCTCTCCGGTGGGGCCTTTGTTCCGGAGTAGTGAAGTTCGTCACCTGAAAGCCTTCCGAGATGCAGAAGCGCAGGGAAGGATCTCCAAAGGAGATGAGGTGGCGTGTTGTTTCCAGGGGCTTGGGATGGGAGACCATGCGGCCGTTGATATAGCCCAGGAAAGTCATGTTAACCTTTTGAGGGCTTTTGGCGCTATGAGGGCGAATGAAGTTCTTAGGTACAGGGACCCGGTGCCGTATCCTGAAAGCGGATTCGTCGAAGGTGTCATGATTGATGACCACCTAGGTCTGCAGCTCTTGAAGCGTCTCCCCAGCATGAAGCGGACTTTGGAGCAACCAGCGCGAGATCAGGAAGTCTTCGCATCTTCAGCTTCGGCATACGACTATGCCAACTTGTTTCCCCATCCAAAGAAGAAGCAACGAAGAAGCCTTCACGTCAAGGCTTGGGGAGCTGAGCTGGAGGGTGGGCGTGGCCTTGTGGGACCGGCGAGGGGGCGACTTCTTGCATTGAGTCGACTGTCCGCTATGTCTGCGAAGCCAGGTCCGATGGACCAGCAAATTTTGGATGGTGTCTTAGGGCTCTGGGGGTACTGCCTCCAATTCCGCCGACCGATGTACAGTTTTCTTTATGAAGTCTTTCGTCAACAATCGCCTGAGGACTCGACTGGACCCTTCAAGCTTTCAAGCAAGGCCCGTAACGAGCTTGGCGTGTTGGCTTGCTTAGCTCCTCTTTGTATAAATGATCTTCATGTGCTTCCCGATTCTAATCTTTATTGCGTTGACGCTTCCCCTGCGGGAGCTGGGGTTTGTAGTACTCCCGTTGGTGTGGACGTGGCCCGTGAGCTGTGGAGAAGAGGAGAGAAGCAGGGATACCGTATGCCAATGTTGTCTCGACTTGAGTCCGCCCTAAGAGGTAGCGAGACAGGAGCGGCTTGGTTAGGAGATTCTGATTCAGAGCAGTCAGATATTCCGACGAGGGGTGATAGTTCACGCCGGCGCTTGGATGCCGCGTCTTTTGCTGAAGAGTTTTGCGAGTTGCTTTCGAGGGATGGCTGGAGGCCGTCTCTAGTCCGTTCACCGGACGATGGCCCGTACGACTTTCTTGAATTGTACGCGGGCTGCTGTCAGCTCAGTCGTGCGTGGCTAAATGAAGGGTTTCGAGTGATGCCTCCTCTTGATCTTAGGCGGGGTTGGGACCTTAGGAATCAAAAGCTTTTTTGGGGTCTGTTAGGGTTTATTCGTTGTGGGAAGGTTAAGTTCCTTTGGTGGGCCCCGCCGTGTGATAGTTTTTCGCGCTCTCGAGGTCCGAAGTTGCGTAGTTTGGAAAGGGCTTGGGGGTACCGCTTGCTGGATGAATCCACTCTGCTGGGGAACCTTCATGCTGCTCAGTGCCTGCTTCTCTCTAGTGTCCAACTGGAGGTGGGCAACGCTTTTGCGGGCGAACAGCCCGCCTTTGGGTTCATGAGAGCCCTTAGTGCATGGAAAGTTTTGTTAGCCAGGAATTCCTTTGAAGTCATCTTTGATTGGTGCAGATATGGCCGTCCCTTCAAGAAGTCCATCAAGCTGTTGACCAACTTTGCTGTTTTACAGGAACTTGGTAAGAAGTGTCATCATAGGCATCAACACCCGAAGCTTGAAGCCGTGCTCAGTGGTAGAACCTACAGTAGAAGCTTTTGTCGAGCAGTTGCTTCTTTGTGCACTCGAGTGTGGGATTCCTTTGACGACCAGGTCACTTCTAGGATTGGTACTTCGAGGGCTGAGGTTTCGGAGAGGTGTGAAGGTAAGCACTTGAGTGAGGAGGTTCTCTTGAGGCTTTCTAAGGGGAGACGCAAAAGAAGTTCGGCGTTGTGGGCTGTGCAGCTTTCGGAAGCGCTTGTTTGGCGCACTGTGATGCAGTACAAATTCACCCGCTTGGAGCACATCAATCTTCAGGAAGCCAAAGCTAGGAGATCTTTGATGAAGCGTCTGCCAGTTTCCAAGCGTGTTGTGGTCTGTCAGGACAGTCGCGTCAACCTGGGAGCATTAGGAAAGGGGCGAAGCCCGTCTGAAAGTCTGAACCGAGTCATGCGGTCTGAGGCTCCTTGGATCCTCGGTAAGAACTTGTATCTTTCGGGTGTTCATTTGCCGACTTGGTCAATCCGAGCAGACTTCCCCAGCCGTTTTCGCTCGCCTCCAGGTCCTAGGATTCCGGTGCCGCCATGGTTCTGGAAGTTGAGGCGTGGTGATCAAGCAGGAGCGTTGGAACTGGATGAGCTGCAGGGGCTGCCTCGGGCGCTCAACCGTTGGCTGCTTTTTGCTGGCCATCTGCTGCTGTTTGGTTTCAGTAACGGCTGCGCGGGGAGCCAGGCCGCAGCTACCGCGAGAAAGGGATCAATTGGTGCGGGGCCGTGTGACCGCGCTCACTCACAAGATCCGCACCAACCTTCTGAAGGATTTGACGATCTGGCTGCAACCACGTGTGCCCCAGTATTCCTTGGACGAGCTGGCCAGGACGCACATCGACGTTTTGTGCGAATGGTTAGAGGAATTTATGATCATCATGTTTCTGGAGCACAAGAGCCGAAGAGCGGCGTCGGAGACGCTGAACGCTTTGGTGCAACAGTATGGATGGCTGAGATCCTCGCTTGCAGGGCCTTGGAATCTCATTCGCACTTGGGAGCAGCTGGAGCCCGTGCAGCATCATCCCCCGATGCCGCTTATGGTGGTGTATGCCCTTGCCACTACTGCGCTGCTGTGGAGATGGCCGCGGATGGCAGTGGCTTTAATTCTGGGCTTTTTTGGTTTGTTGAGACCTGCCGAAATTATTGGGCTGCGACGTCAGGATCTGGTGTTGCCGGGAGATCATTTCGACGACGAGGTGCTCTACGTTCGCATAGGCCAGCCGAAGACTCGACACCGGGCGGCGGCCTCACAGCATGTGCGAGTGGATCATCCAGGAGTGGCAGCTTGGATTGTAGACGCTCTGCCTTCAACACCTGGGTGGAGAAGAATTTGGAATGGCTCTTGGGCGGCCTTCAAGCTGCGCTTTGATGCGTTGCAGTCGGAAGTCCTGGAGGGCACACCCTTTCTTCCCTCCAGTTTGCGGCCAGGTGGTGCTACTTTTCTTTTCAGAAGCTGGGATGAAAACCTGACGAGGCTGCAATGGCGTGGCAGGTGGAAATCCTTTCGCATGCTGGAAACGTATGTGCAAGAGTTGGGAGCCACTGAAGTCCTGGTTCGCTTTTCGCCTAAGGTTCGGCGCCGGGTTTCTGTTCTGGGTTCTTGTTTTCAGGAAATCTTGGCCGCATGGCAGCCACAAGCGGGGTAAGCCGTCCCACGCTTGTTCTTTGGCCCGCCCACCCACCCGTGAAGGTCAAAGTGGGAACGCTGCTGTGTTTGCAGTGCTTGGCCTGGGAGCCCAAACTAGGGCTCTCAGACCGTCGCGGTCTAGACCGCTCTCTGTACTCCTTTTGCTGAGGTTGGGCTTTACAGAGCAAGTGTGCAGCAAAAAAGCCTGGGCGTTTGCACGGTGCTGAAGCATGAGATGCATCAGCAGGGTCACTCAAGTCTCTTCCAAGAATGAACATGCACCGTGGGAACGGAGACATGCTTCGTTGGATTACCAGGTTTCAACTCTCTGTTCAGAGAATGCAAGAAGCGTGGAACGATACCTATCTGCCGATCGAGGACCCGAACAATGCAAAGGTCAGAGCTTTCATAGTAGGACTTCCTCCAGAAGAACAAGAAAACCTTACGCCAGCTCAGGCAATGGAGAGAGCCAACGAACGGCTCAGAGAGCAGCATGCTCGGACCATTCCGATCACGCCCAACCTGGTCGCTTTGATCTTTGTGTCCCTGTCTGATCTGACACAGGATCAGCGTCAGGTGTTGACATCACTGATGGCGCATCGGAACCGAGTCCTGGCTGACTACAACACGGCCGAGCTTCGCGAAGTCTACCTGGAGATCTTCTGTACGACCAAGACTACCGTCGACAATCCACTCCTCGCTCCTTCCGGCCACGGTGGCCGCAAGACTTTCCTTGTGATCGACGAAGGATATTTGAACGATCATGAAGGCTACTGGGTCGAGGACGAGGAAGATGGCACCGAAGGTTTCCTCGAAGCGGATGAGGACGCCTTCTGGGTCTACGACGACGAGAACTATTCATGGTTCCAGCGGCGCTTCTGAGGCGCGGATTCAAGGGCCACCGTAAAGGCAAGGGGAAAGGTGGCAAAGGATCCAAAGGAAGGCGCTTCTTCAAAAGGAAGAAAGGCAGGTCACATCTTGCCGAAGAATCAGAAGCATGGCAAGCAAAAGGACAATGGCAAGATTACCATTGGAGCGATCAGTCCTGGGATGACTGGTCCTGGTACGAGTCTGAGGAATCCTATGCAGCCAAAGGAAAAGAGAAGAAAGGAAAGAAGGGCAAAGGAAAGAGCAAGTTTGGCAAGGATGGAAAAGATGGAAAGTCCGGAAAAGACGGACAGAGCCAGCTTGCTGATGCTGCCCCGAGCGGCACCACAGCCGCCACAACCTTCTTCGTTGAACATCTCAACACTCCGAACTTTTCTTTCATGGCCACCGAAGAGAAGATCAATGAGATCGAGGAAGCCTTCATCTCTCAGCCCTTGACGCCGACCGCGATGGTGTTGGACCTGGGATGCACGAGAGCAATGGCTTCGAGAGTGGCCGCACAGGACCTCATGGAGTTCTGTGACAAGAACCAGAACTGTGGCATATGGTACACCATTGCTGAGACCACTTCTCAGTTCACCTTTGCCAATTCCGAGTCTACCAAATGCAACCAGAAGTTGGTCATTTGCATGTACGACCGGGACTTTGCAGTTCAATCCACAGAGTTCGACATTGTGGAACAAGGGCATGTTCCCATTCTCATGTCCTTACCTCAGATGCGCAATCTTCGTTTCCAGTTCGAGCTCCATCCGGAAAAGGCCTTGCTCAGCAGCCCTGTGCTGGGAATCAAGGATGTGAGGCTGAAGGTTGCACCCAGCTCACACCTGGTACTTGATCTTCTTGAACTCAGTCAGCTGATGTGGAATGTGCGTTTCAGCAAGCATAAGAAGTCGAGCTTCCTCACCTACTTCTCCCACTACGAGTACGGCTTCCATCAGAAGACCGAGGGATGCTGTTCTCATGAACAGGTACCCGACAATCTCGTGTTGGCGACTGATGATGAATGGGTGATCAACGAAGCCGACATGGAAATGATTCGCATCCACAAGAAGATGAGAAGAGTCAAGTACGAACCCAAGGCGGGTTATGTGCCAATTCCGTTGGAGTATCTGGACACCAAGCGCAAGACGATCATGGAGTTCTCCAAGGGAAAGAGCGTTACTCAAGAAGATGACTGGCGTTCTTCTGAGCTTTCTTCAACAAGAACTACTGACTCTTGGAAAGGCAAGACCATTTTCAAGATTCTGCCTGGTGGCATCGAGAGTAGAACCTCGGTGCCAGCCAAGTCCAAGGATCCAACCCGTGGAAAGGTAGGATCTCCAGAGGACATGGTTAGCGCAGGTAAGCCTGAAGACAGCTCGAAGAACACAGGAGCATCCGGAAGCTTTCCTCAGGGAAAGGCACCGGCAAAGAGAAGGATTCGAGCCAAGGGAAGCTTTCCACAGGGAAAGGCACCCGAGGAACCGGCTCCTCCTCCTCTTGCTCCTGAGGATGATCCGGATCTTCAAGAGTACGAACCTTCCGAACCGGGGGATGCAGATTTGCTTCCTCCGAGTCCTCCGAAGGCCCCAGAGCCACAGTCGCTAGAACCTAGGAGGATCGCGCTTCCGTTGCCAGGCCACGAGGTCTCAAGGGCTTCTCCGCAGTATCAGCGCATGTTGGAAAAGTTGAACAATGATGTTGAGCTTTACAAGTTGCATGTGAAGCATTACCACATGAGTCCTGCTCAGTTTCGACGCAGGACCAGCATGCTTGGTCTGCCAGGAGAGATCTATGACAAGTACGACCGCATTGTCAAAGGCTGTCGTGTTTGCAGCACCTCGGTGCCTACGCCTCCGCGAGCCAGAATCGCAGGGTTAAGAGCATCATCCTTCGGTGATCTCATTTTTGTTGATCATGAAGAAATCAAGTTCGGTACTAAAGCCTACTTGGCTTTGGTCATCATTGATGGTGCTTCAAATCTTCTGTGGGCTACGGCTCTTACAAGCCTGGAAGCGCCAGAGACTCTGGGAGCTTTTAGACAATGGACAGAGGAGAACAACTGCGTTCCTAAGGGAATCGTAGGAGATCAAGCTTTTTTCACGCCGCAGTTCATGTCTTACTACAAGTTCCATGGCATTACTCCGTATCCATGTGGACCACGGACTCCTTGGCCTAATCGAGCTGAGACCGCAGTGCGTCTTTTCAAGCGCACCTGGGCAATCATGGCCAAGGCCTTAGCTGATGAGGGTTATGCAGAGAAGGTGACTGTTCGTCAAGCAGTCAAGAAGGTGGCTTGGGCAAGAAATTGCCAGCTTACCGTCTCAGGCTATTCTCCTTTGGAGATAGCTACAGGAAGACGGCCACCAGACTTGTTTGATGTCGAGAACAGTTCTCCTGAACAGCTCTCTGCTGAACCTGCCGAGGAGGATCGAACCACTCTGGAACTCCAGAGGATTGCCATGCGGGCTCATCAAGAGGCTAGACAATCACTTGACCTTCGGAAGGACCTTGCACGGAGAGTCATGCCGTCTGATGGTCCTTACTCGAAGGGTGACCGCGTGTTTGTTTGGCATAAGGATGAGTCGAAGAAGAAGTCTGAAGGAACCTGGGTCAGAGGCATAGTTGTGTCACAGGAAGGTGCCATGGTGTTGGTTGAAGTTCATCGTGCCGTTCTTCGGGTTAATCAGTCGAAGGTCAGGCGTGATGGAGATCCGTGGCATGATGTGGCCATTCCTCTGAAGAAAGATGAGGTCCCGAGACGCTCTTCTCAGGAAGAGGCACTCGACCGCATCGGCGACGATATTCTTGATCGTGCCGGTTCTGGGTTCTGCTATGAGCATGAGATCTGTTACCACACTCTCACTTCAGGCAAGAGCGATTTCGTTGAGATCACACCTCGCCTCACCGGGCTTACTGCGTGCACAGTCCATTCTGGACTTGATGCGAGTGAACCTGTGTTGTTTGGTGAATGGAACGCCAAGTCTATCCAATCTTCGATTGAGGCCGCTTGGCGAGTGATCTTGAAGGCAGAGCCTAATCACATTTTTATTCATCCTGTCATCCCTGATGGTTGGACCAGGAAGGCTACCAATGCCTTCTGGCACTTTTGTGCCGAAGTCTGCCGTTGGCAAGATGACAAGGGTGATGGATACTTCGTGACCATCATGTATCCTTCTCATTGTGGGTTTTGGCTTTCGCAGAGTAGTCGCTCGCTGAAGTGGAGGAGAGGACTTTCATTCCACACCTTCAAGAACCGTGGTGTACTTCCTTCAGGGGGAGATGACCACGGTAAGCGTCAGCATGGTGAGCTTTCTTTTCTCACTAATCTGCCTGATGGATCATTTGGCCGTTTGGAGTCGTTGGAAGAAGGCTATGACTCTGCTAACGCACTTGATCCAAGGTTTGCTGTGCTGCTTTCGCAGTGTCTTGTGGGTGATGAACGATCAGATCTCCGACAATGTTACTTGTTCGAAGATATCTTTGAGGATTTTGATGATGGAACACTGTGTGCGTTGTGTTTGCGATCAGACCGCAATTCAGAGGCTTTACCGGTTCTTCCGTCAGAAGCAGAGTACTCATTACTCTCAAACAATGACAAAGGGAAGCTTCCGACACCTCTGAGGTTTGTTGCGCCGCAGCGGTTTGTTACATCGTCTTTGGTCCAGACTCTGTCATATGTTGACAGTCTCCTTCCAGGTACTGAGTTGGAAGTTCACACGACCACATCGTCTGACGCGGTCGCCTTGCGGCCGATGATTAAGAATGTGCGCGTGCTAACTCTGCCGTATCTGGAGTTTGAGTACTGTAACGTCTACAGGGGGACTCAAGGGAAAACACTCCCTTTGGTTCATCGTCATCCTGATGCTGTTGTCATTTTGTGGCAGAAGGGTGATATGAATCATGTGTTTTTCGTGACGATGGCACAGTTGCTTCCTTGCCTTAAGGATATGCAATCAACGCACTGGTCCATGATAGTGTTCTGGAATGAGTCACAGAACAACAATTCCAGACGCGGGCCTGATGTTGGCTTGGACTTCACGGACCAGCCAGCGCCGGCCCCGGTTGCACCGCAACCGCCAGCCACAGACGACGATGTGGACTATCCAGGATATGATGATCCACACGGTGATATGCCTGTGGACGATGAGGAAATGCCACTACAGCATCCAGAGCAGGATTTAGATGATAATCCTGTTGAGTTGCATGTCGGTGGTGACCCTCCGTCACAACCTCCTGGAGGCGGTACTCATGTACCGGTACCAGGGGGAGATGATGATTCCGACCTGGATCACGATCCG